CACTGCCACTGCCACTGCCACTGCCACTGCCACTGCCACTGCCACTGCCACTGCCACTGCCACTGCCACTGCTACTGCTACTCCTGCTACTGCTACTGCTACTGCTACTGCTACTGCTACTGCTACTGCTGCTCTTACTGCTGCCCACCTGATAGTACTGAAAACACATCAGCAGCAGTCAAACGGGTGCTGTTCCGAAGCCGGCTCAGGGCAGTGGGCATGAGCTTGCGCGGAAAGAGGAGCGCAATCCATTCCTCAGCTCGAGAATGATTTACTCGTAGGTCTTCGCCCGCAGAGACTTTATGACTGCGGCCAACCTCTGCCTGCTTGATGAGACTCCATGTGATGCCACACCATGGTTGTTTTCTAGTCGTGAATCTGGACCTGAATCCGAACTTAGCGCTGAAACCCAAAACTCCAAGCCTGCAGAGTGATCTCTGCTGTAGTACTGTAGTTGCGGCCGATGCATCATGTGCGGATGCCAAATGCCCAGTGACTGATGCGCGCTACACCGGAAAGTGGTTGTGGTCTGCAACAAAGACAGGATAGGATCTGCAAGCGATTTGGCATCAGATGTTGCGCCAGCTGCAGCAATTTTTGCATGTAGTTTGCCCTCTTATGCTGCCGCTCCACAACCAACCTGTAGCTTCAGGTTCAAGCATGTGGTTACAATTTCAAGCGAAGTGCGCATTGGGGAGACCCTGTCTGTCGCGTTCGCTTTTCGTGTCGCAGCTTGTTGAATCATGAGAAAAAAAGAGTCGATCAGTGGGTGAATGATGTTTTCCCTCGTTCTTTGGGTGACGAGTCTTCGCAGCGGCCGCAGGAGCAGGAAGCCCTCGAGGCTGCGAGACGTGCCGAGCAAGAGGCGCATTCCGCAGGATCCGCAGGAATCGAGTAGAACTACGTCGTGACTCCGTGAAACAGGGCCAAAACGGGATTGGCTTCTTGCAGCTTCGACCTCGGCTGAAGTCTTTGCTCTTACAAGCAACAGGGTTTTGTTCTTCTACAGTGGCGGTCTCGCTCGCCTAACCTGGGAGGCAGCTGCCGCCATAGCCATGGCAATGGCCGAAAAGCAGGAAGCTCTCGAGCAAGCACAGGCGAATAGATGGGTGTCATGTCATTTTGGGAACGCTGTTGGAGGCATTTTTGCCCAACTGTCGCAGAGAACGGTAGCAGCCATCAGCCGCTCTAGCCCGCCAAGTTGTCCCACTATGAAGGCAATCAATCTATCGGAACGACACCTTGAACCGAGCGTTGCAGTAATTGCAGCAAGTTCGCCCCTTTGTCTTCAGTCCGAGTTGATCGAGGAATCAGGGCAGTCTGCTGCACGTGCTCACCAGGCATCAGCGGCTGCTGCAGATGCTGCGCGAGAGGAGGTTCAGAAGCGAGAAGAAGAGATGCGCCTGTTCAAGGACGACAGCCTGACCACGCACAAGTCAGCCCATGATGCCTTGTTCCATGCGTGTCTCTGACTGATCGGTTGTATTCACATTTGTCAGCACCGTCGCCTCTCGATCACGTTCCATGTGCAACACACTATGGTGTCGTTACGCATTCAGTGATGCTCACAGAACAGCTGCATCGCTAAGAGCCAGGTTCAGGAAGGCAGTCGTCACAACGTCAACGCGCACCACCAAATAAGCAACTGGATTTAAGGTGCAAACATCTTAGCTTTGAACTTCCCCTACCCCCTCGGCTGAAAACCTGAAGCTCCACACAGCCGAACAGCCCGGCCTTCGAAATGCCGGGTCTGCTGGGTCTAACTGCTATGTTGTGTGATCTTCTTCTTATTCGTCTAGCATACTATAGTAGAGTAGAGTACGGTATAGTGTTGTATTCCCTAAACCCTAAACCCTAAACCTTGTGTATGGTATGCTTGGCTTGGAGGAGCAGATGGAGCAAGAGCTGCAGGAAGCAGCGGCTCGAGCCAGGGCCGAAGCACAGGCCCCAACACCTGGCGGTGGTTGTCCAAATTAGGGTCCCTTTTTGGGTACCCTAAATAATAGGTGCCGTATTATAATAATAAGGACCCAAAAGGGGACCATAATTTTGACAACCACCCACCTGCTTGAAAGCACTATGTTATTGCAGACTCCATAAGTTGTTCGTCTCGAAGGTCCTGCTAGTAGCTTCTGGGGTCTTTCCCTGACTGTAACTTCTGTACTGCTCCTACCGTGTTCTAACTGCTTGGCTTTTTGTTGCCTGGACTTCGGTAGTTCAAGATCTTGGTCACTCTCGTGACTTCGGCCGTGGGCACACTCAAAACACAGGAGCTCGGCGGCCCTTTCCTCTTAAGCTCCTGGGGCTTGAGTGGATAGCCTGCAGCAGCGAGCGTGACGATAGCAATCGTAGCGCAGGACTACATGAGTAGTGATGACAGTGATTGTACGTAATATCAGTGCTAGCATTAGCGTTTTTAGTTTATCCATTCAACTTATGGTGGTCGTTAAGCCCTTGTCATGATGGTGGTGGTGGTGGTGGCGGCGGTGGTGGTGGTGGTGGCGGTGGTGGTGGTGGCGGCGGTGGTGGAATGGTGGAATGGTGGTGGAAGAAATAGAAAATTCCAATGTAGCGCGCATGGACTGCCAGCTCACTTGTTCTGGCAGTTCCGGCGATCCTGGTGTTTAGTGGCTTTGCTCGGAGCAGCCGTTGTTGCTGCCGTAGTGTGGCTTGCGCACAGAAACGATGCAACCAAATTGCACAAACAAGCTGATTAATTATGTTTGCCTATCCTCTCGTCATTTCGGGCGTTCCGCGTATTCAGTCCTGCGAAAGCGGATGCATGTGCAGTGCATGCACCTGAGCCTCGAAGCCAATGCGGCCTAAACACCGCGAAGCCGAAACCCCGAACTCCCCCGCGCCTGAAGTCCCGCTTTCGCCGAGAGGCTCAGAGCGGCTCAGAGGGTCAAGACGAGGAGCTCTTGGCCCAAAGAATAGCCCGGGCCCAGGAGCAGGCGCCCTCCCTTTTGCTTTGGCTGAAGGTCTTTGAGGCTGTCGGCGTGTTACGATGCCGGCTCACGAATGGAGACACCTTCTGGTGCAGCTTCCAGTATCCGTCTTGCGGTAGAGTCCTAGTGCCAGGACGCCACGTCAAGCAACGCTCAAGACAGGTGACAGAAACGGGCTAAGCTGCAGCAGGTTGCCACCTCGAGCCCTAATTGCATTTGCATCCTCTGTCGTTGCACTCAGTTGGCCTTATTGCAAGTCCTTTCTTTTTATCTGGTCAATCTATTGGCTTGCCTCTCGCATGCACAGGCCGCAGCTGCAGCAGAAGCTGCCATGAAGGAGAAAGAGGCATAGAGTACGAAGCATCATGCACACCCTCGCGCACGTTCTTTCCTTGCAGGCTGCTCTTCTTGCAGCTCAGCAAAAAGCCGAGCAAGAGGCTACTCGTTGGGACCATGATCCATGCCGTGGTAGACTTCGCCAATTTCAACGTCCTCAGGTTGCATGCCCGTGAGGGTTGCGGGTTTGAAGGGCAATGTGGACTTGCGGGTAGAACGTGCAGGCGATGGTCAGTCCGAATTCTCCAATTGTGTGCATGTGCCGGAACTTGAATCTACTTGCCAGTAGCCGACAGGACTTCGCAGTGGTCTTACTGCCACCCTGAGTCTTTTCGGCGTGCTGGCATGGTCGTAGTCGGTTTTGGGCTTGATCCAGAGGCTGCTGCAGCTTCCGCCCGGGAGCAGGCGGGACTTTAGAAAGACCTGGCAGTATCGAGGGCAGATCTCGGCAGGCAAGGGTTCCTCGCCTGTGCAAACCAATGCAGGGCCACTCAGATTTTAGTCGTTTCCACTTCGCCAAAGTGTCCACGACAGAGAGTGAAGCTTCGCAGCCTTAGCAGGCCGAAGTCAACCGGCTGTTCTCCTGCAGGCAGCAGCTGACGCAGCAGCCGGCATGCAGGCTAAAGAGGCCGCAGCACGCCGAGCCTGAGTACATCTGAGTCCTGAATGTCTATTGTAGTGCGGCAGGACTTGTCCGTCGCTTTCCGATGTGGGCTAACTGTCTGCAGCACACTTTCTCGATGCACTGGCTAGCGACAGTGGAGAATTAGCCCCAAGCAGACTTGAACTCATGGGGCAATGACAACTAGGACGCCTAAGCAGATCTATGCAGTATGCAGATGCAGACTCAGCAGATCATTTCTTCTCGAACAGCAATGCATCCGACTCGCACACATTCACGTGGCCTGCGGCCTGAGATGTCGAAAGACTGGTCCAGTACTCGGGAATAGGTTTGGATTGTGCACTTGACAGCGGTACGGCTTGCAATGATCTAACACGAACACTCGGAGGGTGCAACGGGTCAGACGTTCGTCTAGCTTGTGTGGACCTCACATGCACAAAGATTCGACACCTGCTTGCACTTGTTCTGCAGTGCTCTCGGTGTGGATTTGTGCACAAACTCAGGTCTTGTGAGGATGTCCGTGCATGGTTGACATCCTATGGCTACCCGGAGGCGATGAAAGTTGCTTCTTCTAGAGAATGTCCCAAGCAACATCTTGTAGCTTTTGACATCACAGTGAGGTGGAAGTTCAGATGGAAGTTCGTCTTCGCTGCTTCTTTTTGTGATCTGCATGTCGAGGTGGCCCTGGCAGCCTTTCACCACAACGTTGAAGGCAAAATGTTGCCACACCTCGGTCACGAAGGTCAGGCCAAAAGTCGCGTTTAGGCCTTTTCGGCAAGACGGTGCTGTCACTGCTGCAGGATGGAAGGAACTCGGCTTGACCTCCGCAGTCGAGCGCGCAAGAATTTTGAGTGCCTCGTTCATTTAGGCATGACGGAAGTGCGATGAAAGCTGAATGTGTTTCTGTGTGCCACAAGTGAAAGTGCAAGTCATCCTCCGGACCCCAAAGCCTCAGAATACGGAGATCGCAGGCGCCTGACTGTCCGATCTGGGAACCTCGAAAAGATCGTATACGGGCTGTTCGGCTGTTCTTCCCCAGAGCCCAAAAGCAGTTTGACAATCATGCCGGGCCCAGGGACATACAATTGGGATCGTGCTTTCGTACGTAGTCAAGCTCTTGCATGGCTGCTGGTGTCACTCACTGGACTTCTGTGAAGGTGCAGTTGCCGACTTTAGCACCGACAGCCGCGAACCCGAACAGCCGTGTGCCGCGGCTCGCGTGCCTGCAGCTAGAGCCGAGGGAAAAGGCACCTTCCTACAACGCTTCGGAAAAGCGGTCCTTTGGTTGCAGTGTTCTTGGATTCCCGTCTCTTACAAAAAGGTTACCACGTTCGCATTTTATAGGAAGCATAGTGACACCTGGCTAGGTGAAATTGATGGATGGGTTCATCTGGTCGGACCACAAACCCGTCTGGTTCCAGCATCTCGAGCAGTCCGGCAAGTCCCCAGAAGAGCTGCGGGAGCTCTTCTGTATCCAGCTTGATTCATACAACCTGATGACATTGCTTCTGCTGTCCTCCGTCGTACCGACAGCTACGGGCATTTGTGCAGATATTGGCTGGGATGAGGATGGTTGGCCGGTGGACAAGCTCAAGTTTTTCTGCTTGATCTTCAGCTTTATATACAGTGGGCTTCTTATTCTGCATTTTTGTATGTCACACATACTGCACCTCCTCGTGTCCGGAGTCAGCCCTGCAAACTACCCTGTGTTCATGAGGGCATGTGGCTGTGATTTTCTGTCCGAGATTGGCGTCGCGTACGTGGTGATCCTGTACCTCTTCGCCCCGTGGATGTTTTCGTGTATGGCAATCCTTCTTGGAAGGAGCGCTAACTGGACGATTTGGGCGTCCTCTTTCGGAGTCGTGATCTTGTCCTGGATTTTCCAAGCCTCTTTCACTTTTCCGCTGCTGGGTCGACATGATGATGGGTCACGTCCCAGAGTGGCAGACACTGCCTACAACAGCTCACGGCTACTGTTCGGGCTAGTTCTACATTGTGGCCTTCTGCACCAAGACAGGGCACCTCTCGACCCGTCGCTACCGAGGGACGCATTGCTTGAGCAAATGGCTGAGATTTCCCTGGAGGAGATAGAGCACAGAGCCCGTGCTTCGGAAGACAGAATCTGTCTGCATACTCAAGCCTTGTATCAGTCTTTTCAGTTTCTGAACAGCGGACAGGAAGAGTCCTTAAGAGCGCAACAGTTAACGCCACAGCCATCCATTTGCACCGTATCCCTGAATTAACGGAAAGCTGTTGCTGCATGAGCCGACACGCCGAGGATATGACACGATGAAAGAGGATGGCTTTTCTGAGACGGGATCGAACTCATCGTAGCTTCCCGTCTAGGGCAAAGCGCTAACTCGCCGGAAAGTGCCTAGAATGGCATAGATTCGGCATAGATTCCAAAAGGAGCTTTTTGTCATGTTGCGCGCAGATCTCGAGTGCACGTCATGACCCGCATGGTTTGGGGGGATTCAAGCTGGAGGCCTTCAGAGCGGCTCCTGTCTTCGGACATTGTCCGACCCCTGTCTGGCTGTCAGGCGGAGGCCCATGCTGCTCGAGAACGTGCTGAGCAGCAGGTCCCGGCGATTTGAAGAAGTTTGGCCGCGGACAATGCGCTCACTTGGTTCGCAGGTTTGCTGGTCGCTGCATTCATGGGGCAAGGGATGGTGTAGTCAAGTCGTTCACAGCTGCTTAGACTTAGAAGTTGCGATGAATACATAATCATGCATACCTCAACAGCTCCCGGAGTGCCAACCTTTCGAACAGTGCAACAGCAGGCGCGGTCTCCAGATTAAGTACGACGCCGGATTGGGTGTTAATTGCAACAATTAAAAGTAGGCGCAAGTCAAGTTTGACAGGCAAGCCTGCAACGCAAGGCCAGCACAGACCCTTGGTTGCAAAGCTATGTATTCCTCCTTTTCTGTTGCACTTGATTTGTGCGCATCGGATTCATCTGATGGCATAAAGCTCTACCCGAAGCCAAGCCTCGCGATTCAAGCAAGCTCGCTGAGAGTTGATCATGTCGATAGCCCAAACCCAAGGCTTAATGTGGAGAGCAAACTACACTCCGACAACAAACTCAGCTTGACAACACTACTGTATACGACAAGGTGGCGAACGAAGAGGCTGCCAGAACCATGGCGCAAGCTCAGGCCTGACATGACGATCATGTGAATGAGGATGGTGTCTGGCACTATGGGTACTGCATATTGTATCAATTTATATGTGTCGTTGATGTGCCGTTGCTCATGGTTCGGCTTGAAGCTGTCTTTGCCGATGTCAAATATGGAGTTCCCGACACTCGGTCTGCCTCATGCCGCTCCCATCTCGGTCACTGTAGTGTAGGGCGCCTCCCATAGGCCACATGTTGCAGGCTGTCGCTGCTGCAGCACAGAAAGAGCGCGAAGCTGTGGAGAAGGCATCCGCTTCAGTGTTCTCGGTGTCCGGGAACAGCAAGCTCGGCTTGACAAGTTGGTAACTCACTCCGAATGCTATTTTGCTCCATGTGCTGGATTTCCAGCTTACTCTGGAGTTTGCAGGCAGCAGACACAAGACTCAGCAATGTCCGGCTTTGCAGGCGAAGGCTGCATGGGAGGCTCGGATGGCCGATGAGGCTCATCCGTGCGTGCTTAGTTGGAATTCATCTTCAGCTTAACCGCTGCCGTCATCAGCATTATTATTATCACCATCATCATCGCTGTCCCATCCTCACCGTCATTGCCTCCTCGCAAGCACCGTTCCGAAGCAAGCAAGCAAGCAAGACCTTGACAACAAGAGCAAGCAGGTACATAGATGTCAACGATGACCGCAGAAGGAAATGAGAGTCAGCTGAGGGCAACGAATCGTAAGAACAGCCAGGATAAGATCCGCAGAACTCAAGACTGCGAGTTTGCGAGTCGCCCACGAGTGTATCCTTTACCGCTTTGGGTCAGGCCGAAGCCTTGAAGGCTGCAGAGAAAGCGAGGGACGATGCGCCTTGGATGTACTGGCTCTACATAATGTGTAGCAGATGATGTTTATTTGTTTAATTATAGCATACAGAGCCTTGTGTAGACATGTAAACACATGTAGTGCTTCAAGTAAGCGGTATGGAGGACACTCTTACATGCATGCTTGCATGAACACAGTACCGGTGGGGGTGCTTCGAGCGACTTTAGAAGGAGGATTCTGGAAGAAATGTAGAAATTTCCACGAGGACGCCATTCCAGTCGGCAAATCCCATGCCTGTTAGGAGGCCGTTAGAAGCATTGTGGGATGCAGAAATTTCTGCGAGGAGGACGTTAAGAGGACGTGAGGAGGACATGTAGAAATCGCCACGAGGACGCCACTTTCTCAATACAAAAGCAAGAACATGCAGATTACTATGTAGTGAAAAAGTGACCTGAGGAGCGGGGCGGGGCTATGATGCCTGAAGGTCTTGCGATGGGATTTGTTCAGGCTTGTATGTCACTCTGTGTCTGCTGGTCGGAAGAGCGCTTGCCGTAGCAGCGTTTGTCGCAGCTTCGGAGAGTTAATGAGCCAAGGGGGAATGAGAGGGACTAGGCCGACGTGTTTTCCTGACTTAGCGGTTCAGACAAGTAAGGCAAAAGAGCTCGTGGCTGAGGGAGTGAGGAAGGTGGGATTCAGGCACAGGTAAGGACTAAAGACTAAAGACCCGATAGAGATGCCATGTCAGCCGCGGCTCCAGCACGGAAAAGGCTGGAGGCTACAAACCTTGTCGGCCGTCATGCGAGACAAGTGCCGCTAACACAGCCCACAATCATCGGCTCCTTGTTTCTCATATTGCTGAGTGTCAAGATAGCTCGAACTATCGGAAAGCATTAGCACTAGACTTGGGAGGTCCTTCCTTGTCCTGTGTTTGCAGCAAGCAAGAGCGAGAGGGCGGGAGAAGTAGCGAGGGAGAGCCAGAGAGAGATCCGTAGCCATTTTGGCTCAAGGCCTGTGCCAAGTTTAACCGACCCAGCTCAGTGCCTCTTTTTCCCTCTCCGCACTCCCGGAAATGAAGTGGTTCCTGGCACTTTGTGTGGTGGGAGCCGTTGCCTTGAAGCAGGGCTCGCTGAACTTGCTGAAGGTACCCGTCACCTCCGACAGCGACCTCGACTTCGAGGACACGCTGGTGACCGCCCTACGCGCCTCGAAGGGCAGGTCCAGCCCCGAGACCAAGGCCCTGGTGGAGAAGATCCAGCAGCTCTTGACCGATGCCAAGCCTGCGATCAAGAAGACTTTGGAGGGTCTCCAGGCCACGTTGACAAACGCGGGCAACGCCATGTCCGACTGCGGTGGCCAGGAGATGCAAAGGAGCTCCGCGGCCTTCGAGAAGAACTTCACGGCCAAGAGCGCAGCGCACAAGACATGTCGGCAGACTCGGAAGCAGAACATGGATGCACAGAACACCTGCCAGACAGAGCTGAAAACTGTGACAAGCACCGCAAAGACGACATGCGAGGCACTGGAAGCGCTGGAGAAGACCATGTACAGCGCGAAGGACTCTTGTGAAGTGAAGTCTGGTGAGGCTTTCGAGGCTTACCATACGCGGCTGATCGAGGCTTCGCAGAAAACTTTGGCGGAGTACAAGAAGCTGAAGGAGGGGTGCGCCACAGCCAAGAAGGAGTTGGAAGACAAGGGACCCGAGTGCACTGTCGCCCTGAAGACTTACGAAACCCAGAAGCACAACTGCGACAGCGTGCAGGATGCCATGGATAGTCTTTCTTGCTCCCACTACGAGGCAGCGACCAGCAAGTGCGAGGCTTCCGGGACGTGCTATGACAAGGCCGTCTCGAATTACGAGTCTGTCCAGACTTCTTCAATGACCCAGCTGGACAGCTTGAAGAAGGAGTGGCGCGCCATCTTGCGCATGGAATGCATCATTCAGGTCTTCAACCTCGAGGAGTCCAAAAGCCAGCGCCATTGACAGCTGCCAGGCGAAGGACACAAGTGCACAGGCCGACAGTGACCTCCCGCTACAGCTCTCCACCATCCCCAACAAGCCCACCTGCCACGTCCCAGCTAACAAGGCCGGGAGCGCAGGGTATGTGCAGGCCAACTTCGAGGGCCTGCCTGCGGACAGTCCGGCCAAAGCGTGTGTTGCTTCCTGCTGCCAGCAGACCGGAGGCACGTCCGGCTTGGACTTCTCGGGGCTCGGCACCACGCCTTCCGGCGACTGGCACCTCGCCCTCAATGTCGACACAAACGATGGCCACGTGGTGTCGTATGTGAACACCGACTTCTGGGAGTCCGCCGCGGGCCTGGGCGGGGCCAGCGACAAGGCGGAAGAACGCTTCACTCGGGACTACAAGGATGTAGAGGTCTTCAGCAAGGTGCAGGCCAAGCAGCTGCTGATCGTCTGCCACAGCGAGGGCAAGGCGCTCGGATGGCGCTCTTGGAAGCTGCTGGCAACGAAGACCCTGCAGGGCTGGTTCACGATGGGCAACACCTGCAAGACAGGACATCAAAGCAACACGAAGTTCCAGATGGCTGCAGAAACCACAGGTGGCGACGTGGGAACCCTTGTCAAGAACGAGCCCCTGATCAAGAACACGATTGATGGCACCGATAAGCTCTATGTCAATTCTGCGCACAACACAGGTAATGACTTCAACCGATTGAGCGTCAACGTCAATGACAATGTCCTGGGAAATGCTGGGGCGGGCCTTGGCACCCAGTATGACGCAGACTACGATAGTGCCGACACCTGTGGCAAGACAAAGCGGCCGCAGGCGGATGCCGAAATGC